GTGGCCTGGGGAAAGTTCTGAGAACCAGATAAAGTCATGGGGGGGGGCTGCATTCATAGGACATGAGAAGATGCTGGCTGCTGGATCAGGTAAGAGGCCAATCGAATCCTGGTCTCCCAGTGGCCAACCAGATGCCAAAGAGAAACTTGAAAGCAGAATCTGAGTTCAATAGCCTGTCCTGTGATTCCCAATGGACTGGTACATTGCATCATAAGGACAGCCATGCTCCGCTCATATACTATGTAAAGAATGAAAGTTCACTGTCTCCCCACCTTCCATTCCCTTCCAATTCCTCTCCCCACCTCTCTCTCCCCCTCAGCCCCATATTGCCTATAACAGGCATGTCCAACTCCCAAGAGACTGCGATCTACTGACAGTATAAAACAACTGGTAGTGATCTACTCATTGTCTTTGGAGGATGGACCAGAGTTGTTGGGCTTTTGGGGGGGAGCCAGAGTTGTCCAGCTTTTTAGGGAGCCAGAGTTAATGAGCTTTCTTTAGGGTGCCAGAGTTGTTCAGCTTTCTTTTAGGGAGACAGAGTTGTTGAGCTTTTTTCGGGGGGGGTATAGAGATAGCTCAGGATCCTAAGGTCAACCAAGATCAACCAGGGACACCCCACAATCAACCAGTAGATCACTATCGACAGGTTGGACATGCCTGGCCTATAACATTAACGTCTCAAACTGACTGTACAAAGGACTCTACGATTTGAAAACAGAGATGCTGAATGTACTTTTGTTACTTATGGAAAATATTTTAATGAAAACCTATAAAAAATAAAAAAGGAAATAAAATAAGGACAGACCTGCTGGATCACACCAAATGTCCATCTAGTCTAGCACCTTGTTCTTCAGATGCCTACAGGAAGTGTTAACGGAGAAAACCAAGGGCTCCCTTGGACAAAAAAACAAGGACACCAGCCAGGAATACCAGAGCAAAACAGCAGCCAGTAGGCTTGGTCTTTATTGAAGACTGTAGCAACAGGACTCCTACCTGCCACAAGGTGGAACAAGATAGAAGCCCCGAACAAAAGAGCCCCCAAACTTTTATTAGCTGCTAATCCCCATGTTATACTCCCCAAACTACATCACTAATACATCATGGTTACATAATGAAAGGGGAGGTCTGGTGGCAGTAATCTGAGCATCCTGAACCCTGCCCCATGGTTCTCCTTACCCTCCACCAGGACCTTGTGCAACAGCCCTCTCCCCACTTGTGCACTCCAGGAATTATTATTCAGAGTCATACTGACTCTGCCAGTGGAGGTAGAAGGCAGCCGTCATGGCTAGTAACCATTGATAGCCTTGCCCTCCAGTTCTGATGCTGAACCTGGATCCCCTCCTTCCAAACCCATGAGCCTCTGTGCTCATGAAACAGCTGCTGTATCTCTCTTTCAAAGAAACAAAGATTACAAAGAGCCATTCTGATCTTCTTTGTAATGCTTGCAGTTCAGGCAGATTCTGTGATCAAAGAATGCATTGGCCACTGAGAACATATTCAGTCTGACACAGCCTCCCTGGGCTCCAAATTAATCCCCTTTTTTTTAATCTTCATGTTAGCCAAGAACAGAAGTGTAAAATGTAGCCATAAACAGTTGGACCTTGTCCCATTATTAGGCTTATGCAAACATTAATGTGGTCCCCCCTCCCCCAGTTTTTATTCGAAAGATTGGAGGATTTAGCAAAGGATTTGTGTAGTTCCCTTGTTCTTGGGAGGCTTTTGTTGCATTTCAAACATGAATTACGCAGAAATTGAAAGAGTTTGGGGTTGCTGCTGTTGCTTTTTTTTAAAAAAAGAATTTAGTACAACCAAAAAAGAAAAGGAAAAAGACAACATTTGCATCCAGAAAGGCAGATTAATATGCTAATACACAAATAGTAGATAAAACTAAATATTTCAGATCCATCAGATGCTTATTGTCATTTGCTACCCTCACAACAGATTAGTTTTATGGGTAAATCTATTGTAGCTGCATTTCAGATGTGCAGATTTTGTTTTCATTTTATTTTTTAAAAGGCTGTTCAAGATTTATTAGTTTCCATTAGAGTTGTACAAAGCAAGGTCTTGTGAATGCTTTTGCATCTTTGGATTTTAAGTAGGTTTGGCTGACACTGCGGTGAGTTAACATAACCTATTTCTAGGAAAGTGTGAAAAACTGTTTATTTTATTTTTATTTTTGCAGATTATCAAATCTTCATGCATCCCATCCTGACATTCTACATGCAGTGGGGTTTCAAACCCTGGTCTCCCAGGTCATAGTCCAATACTCTAGCCATTATGCCATTCTGGTTTCATGGGCCTGCTGTCTGAATCACTTGAGCACCTAGCCACAACACATGTGAAGCTCCTTAGCATGTTCCCTATGTGTCAGGGAACTGCCATCGGCACAGAGGCGAGAGATAGAGGGGGAATTGTGTTACAGGGAGCCTCCGAATATCTTGCGAAGCACTTCCTCTTCCGGCGTGGAGGAGACCCCCACCTCCAGTGGAGAAGAGGTGCAAGAGCCAGAGTGTGATGGCCTGGGATTCGGACTCAGAGGCTGAACCTGAGGAATCCCAGCCTGCACAGGAGTCCCCACCTCCAGAACCAGCTGAGCCGGGGCTGGGGCCTGAGCCTGAAGGGTCCTCACCTGTGCTGGATCCTCAGGTGCAGGCACCAGCTGAGTCTGCTCTGGCCCCTGAAGTGCTGGAGGACCCATTGCCTGCAGGTACTCCACTCTCAGCCCCGTCAGAAGAAGAGGAGGTTGCCTCTGGGTCCAGTAACCCTCAGGGTAGAGAGGCGGAGGGAACTAAGTTCCTGCAGGAGGAGTGCTTGCTTCCAGGCCAGGAGAGGCGAGTCACCTGTGGACCGGGGCCGCCCTATGCCTCGGGGCAGATAAAAGCCAGTCAGCCCCAGTCCCAGGTTGCGGGAGTAATGTTGTTGCTAGCCTGTTCCTGCCTGCACCCTGTCCTGCTCTTCTGCCAGAGTTCCTGACCCCACCTGACTCCCTGCCTTGGACCCAGCTACAGCTTTGATGGACAGCCTCCATACCGCACCGTCGACCTCAGACTGGACTCAGACCTCGCCTCTCGGTTAGCCCCCGGGACCAGCACACAGAGGATGCTAGAAAGATCCTTAAAACCGCGCCTGAGCAAGCCGGAGAGGAGGGAAGCACATCCCTGCCTTCGCCCATCATGCGCAGTAGTCTGAAGCCCAGGGAGGGGCGGAAAAGGCTGGGGGTGATGAAACTTTTATGTTGGGAGAGGTACAAGAACAGACCACTCCCGGATTTTGCTAGGGATTGAACCAGACATGAACTTATGATGCTCTGCACTGTAAATAGTTTGCACCAAAATAAAGCCTGTAAAAGACAGGTCGTAGTCCTAACCGCATCTGATACTATGGCTAGGGATTTATTTACTCCACATATCATGGGATCGACAATGGGGCTTCTTCCAAATGTGCTCCAAAAAAAGCTATGGGAGAATGTCACCAAGCTTGGGAAAAGACAGTCAGGCCATTGAATGAAAACTGTGCCACAGTGACATCGTAATGTAACAGAACTAATAATGTATAAAAACCCACTACTCATTTTATAAGGAAAAATTCTTTCCAGTAATTAAATCAGCGGAGCAGAGAAAGTCAATTATGAAGCTCCTGGCCCATACACTACGGAAGCCAGTCAGCCGGCCAGCTAGGATACACCAATTCCTCTTGGAACAGGGGCCTTGATATTGTGCAGGCACAGCCTTCTGCCTGAGGATGCAAGAGATGTGCATGGTTTTCTGGTCCCCAAGGGAAAGCTACATATTCACAGCTACAGATAAAATGACCACATATAAAGCAACAGGATTCTGAAAAGTTAATCCGAATCTGCAGTTGAAGTGATTTATAGTGCACCATATGATGGTAATCTGATTACAGAGGACCACAGGGGTTGAAATAGTTTTGATGTTTTGAACAACTGCCTGGAACCATGGGCAAAATGGACTATTGAATGTGAACACCTGTCATTGATAGAAAGCCAATCAACAGAGAACAACACTAAGTAATGCTCTACTTAAAATAATTACACAATCTTTCCCTTCCTACTCATGCCTCTATCCTACCACCAACATCTTCTGTTGCTTCCCTGTGTCTATATTAGATTGTAAGTGGCTTAGGGTAGGGACTAGCCTCAATGGCAATGTTCTGCCTCCATTGCCAGAGCAGGATGCCTCTGAATATCACTTTCTGTGAATCATGTGTGGGAAGATAGTGTAGTGGCACTCATGTTCCGCTTGTAGGTTTCCCAGTGACTTCTGGTTGTCCATTGCAAAAACTGGATGCTACACCAGGTGGACCTTTCACCTGAACAGGCAGAGCTTTCCTTTTGAGCCATCATACCTGGGTCCCCCCCCCAAGCATCATGTATGTAGCCTTTGTATATACCGTATTTTTCGCCCTATAGGGCGCATCGGGCCATAGGGTGCACCTAGTTTGGGGGGGGGGAAATAAGGGAAAAATTTTTATTTCCCCCCCAGGCGTGGGGCTGGGGCGGGGGAAGCCCGAGCTTCCCCCGACCCCAGCCCCCAGAACAGGCTGCTATCCGTAAGCCTTGGGAGCCCGGCGGGAACACCCGTAGGGCTCCCCAGGCTTGCGGATATCTGCCCGAAGCCTGGGGCGCGCTCCGCTGCGCTCCCCGGGTTTCGGACTGCAGGCTGCTATCCGCAAGCCTTGGGAGCCCAGCGGGAACTCCCGCGGGCTCCCAAGGCTTGCGGATAGCTTCCTGAAGCCTGCATTCGCCCCATAGGACACACACACATTTCCCCTTCATTTTTGGAGGGGGGAAATTGTGTCCTATAGGGCGAAAAATACGGTACATAACAACAACTGCTAAGGACCATTGCAATGACAGGCTGATCAGCAAGTTGAACTAGGAATGACATGAACTTTGGCCAGGATGCAACGTAATGCATGAAGTAGACTATGTTGTTGTTGTTGTTGTTGTTGTTGTTTTAAAAAAGAATGCATATATTATCCTGGTTTCTTGGTATTATAAGGGCCATGCTATGAGATACATGAAACGTCCTTTCTAATAGTATGCTTTTTCAGGAAAAGCAGGTGTGTGGGTCCTCGATCCATAATCAAAACGTTCTGTGTGTGGGAAGAAAGCTTTCACCCTTTCCTCCCCATACTGATTTGAAGGTGAAAATCATCTCCACTCTCAACAGCTGATGTAGGTACATTTATGGTGAATAGCACCTCCACAGCACACAGCTTTCAGTGTATTTGTTTGTTAGTCTTTTATGGATACCACAGGACTCGTCGTTGTTTTTGTTGCACGAGGCTAGCATAGTCACATACAGGACTTTAGTTTTTAATATCCCATTCTTCAGCATGTTCCTAGGATGAGTTACAAAAAGGTAAAACAAATGGGAGGGGACGAAGGGGGGAAACTCAAGAACATTAGCCTCCACAATATAAAATATAAAAGAGAAGCAAAGCCGTTGACTAAGCCATATCCCACCTTTCTTCCCCATTATTATCCTCTGTACTTCCCTCTGATGTAGGTTAGGGTAAAAGATAGCAATGAGCCTAAGGTCACCCAGTGAGCTTTGTGGGGATTTGAATCCTGGTCTCCCAGTTCCTAGTCCAACACTCTAACCACTATGCCACACTGGTTCTCCTTAGTTGCTTTGCTGTCTGGGTGAATGCTAAAATCTGATTTCATTGTACTTCATGGAATGAAAGCAGTTGTATTCCAGTTATTTCTCCACTCTCTATTTCCATCTCTAAAGTTTTAAATCTAAGGAACAGACTTTTACTAACTGCTTCAAGTCAGTGTTGGGATCCACTATCTGGATATTACAGTTATTATTTCTTTCCCCTACTGTTCTGCAGGATTGGAAATGCTTTTAGACAACAGAGGTGGGAAGCATAAAGTGCTTGCATTGTGTGCAGCTGGGAATAAAATAGCATTAAATGATTATTTACTCAGCAGGATGGACAAGTTTTAAACCTTACCACTGCACTGACGTGCTTCAGGCAAAAGGAAAAGTTAACACTGCTTTAAATATTGTCACAACATACATTGCTGCCAAGTGACCCCCCAAGACACATACAAAACAATAACTGCACATGGAATATGAATATTAGTTGGGATATCTTTTGTCAACTATGGCTTAGTTCCTGTCATATTGAGACGGCATGATAGTCTCCCAAAGTACTTTAAAGAAAAATTAAAAATGGTCCCCTTCCATGGCCCTAGTCATGCATTTAAGTAAATAAGTCTGGGCATAATGTGGTAGGGGAGTGGGACTGTGTACACTGCTTCACATCTAATGTCTCCTTCCCTGTCCCTTCCACCGCTGACATTCCTGTATTGAGCAGGAACTCATGAAGGGGGATTATTTGCTTAAATCAACTTACAATCCTCCCTGAGATCAGGGATCCCAGTTACAAAGAGGTTTAGCAGTCCTCTGAATGTGATTATAACCCCCCACCCACCCCTCAGATCCAAAATGTAATGGAACTGTGCATGTTGGGATGTTGGGAATGCCCTATTCTCTGGTTTCAGTCCCCTCTCTGGCTCAGACTTGCAAGGAGGAATCACCCAGGGGTCTGTCTCCCCCTACTTTCTGTCCAATGGACACCCTCTGATACAGCAGAGACAGCTCTTCAGAACAGGTGGAGGTTCAGAGTAGCCAACCTTCAGTAGGTCTCTGTACTTTGCTGAGACAACAACCCTCCTTGGCTGAGTTGCTGCCAGTGTCTGACACAGTGATCTGTCCAGGGTCCTGATGTTTTCCCTAATCTGATCCCACACAGCCCATTTTGACTCAGCTGTATCCGGCATGGCTCTTTGGACATGACCCTGACGATATAGCATTGCTGATGCTTCATACCAGCCTCCTCTGGGAGCCATGAGCTGAGCTAAAGAAGAAAAAACACAATTAGCACAAATCCGAATGGACAGAGCTTCGTCTGTTGTGGAAGTGATGCTGAACCAAAACAATGGCAAAGCCTTTTGTTTTGTTGGTTATTATGCTGCTTCAGAAATGGGTGAATCAAGACTAAGGATGGATACAGATGAATAGGTAAAATGGTTACTCCACTCTGTGAAACCCGTGTGAATATATTCTGGCATGCAGATTTTGACATAGACGGCTTAGGACCAGCCTGTGTGTGCTGCCAGGTTGCTGTCTATTGTGGGATTTGTGTTACTCAAACAAGTTACTTTCTTGCAGAGTCCGCATGACATCATCAGCATCAAAATGCTAGCTGTATTTCCCTCCATTTAATCTGGATTTACACTTTTTTGAGGGTTGGGGATCTGATAGATTTTAAAGGGGGGGAGCTGTTGCCAATGACCCATTTGCAATGTCTCAACAACCTATTTAAAAATTAAGTCCTTGTGTAGAACCACCCCAGATTACCTGAAGGATCACCTCTTCCCACCTGTCGCTACCCAGAGACAGAGATCATCCTCTGAAGTCCTTCTCTGACTTATTCCCCATTATGTGAGATGCTGGGGTGGGGAGATACAAGCTTGGGAATGGTCTCCCCAACAAAGCATGTACAACCCTCGATCCCCCCCAAAAACCTTAAGATAAAGATAAAGGGACCCCTGACCATTAGGTCCAGTCGTGACCGACGCTGGGGTTGCGGTGCTCATCTCGCTTTATTGGCTGAGGGAGCCGGCGTACAGCTTCCAGGTCATGTGGCCAGCATGACTAAGCCGCTTCTGGAGAGCCAGAGCAGTGCATGGAAACGCCGTTTACCTTCCCGCCGGAGCGGTCCCTATTTATCTACTTGCACTTTGACATGCTTTCGAACTGCTAGGTTGGCAGGAGCAGGGACAGAGCAACGGGAGCTCACCCCGTCACGGGGATTCGAACCACCGACCTTCTGATCGGCAAGTCCTAGGCTCTGTGGTTTAACCCACAGCACCACCTCTTATCAAATTAATTTTTGTAGTCCTTTTTGCAGCCACTGGTTTGTCTATCTGTTGATACTGATGGAATAAAGGAGGAAGGAACTCTTCTCATTTGCTGAGACAACTGGGAGAGTGCACCCATGAATTTAAAAAGATGAAGTGCGAAAGAACATCTACCTTTTGGCCTTTCCTTGGATGTAGAGCCGGACACACATCCCTATCCGTGAAAGCCTCAATTTGGTTATGTGGGTACATGTTAGAACAGCTCCATGTCATTTTGCCAACGAGTGTGCCAAATTGGGAAGGCAAAAAAAGGGTGACTCATTTTGCGACGGGAATACAGCTCCCTCAAGGCACCCACCTCCGTTTCAGCTCGGCAATAACACTGACATTTCACAAAGCTTTGACTTTGTTTCGTCGTCGGAACTTTGTCACGGAAACCTTTCATAGCACAAGCATCATTCTCAGTGTTGACCTCTGCTTGGCTAAAGGTCAGCCACATTCTAGGTTTCCGTGTAGGTCTAACATTCAGGGATCTGTACTAGAGATGACAGGGCAACATTTCATGAAAGCCTGCATTACAAAGCGGCTGGCAAGCATATCTTATCCTTGTGCTTCTTTTAAATGAATCTAGTAATTAGCTTAAAGACCAATTTGTTTCTGTGTGTTTACTTTGCATTATCCATGCTCTATGCAGTTACAGTTTCCAGGCTATATGAGTCAATGCGCTACATAATTCAATAAAGCTAAATGTAGTCTTTGTCCAGAACTGTTTCAATCATTGTTGTATGCCCCATGGTTGCTGTCAGGCTCCGGTGGTAGCTGAAGCTGCTAATCCAGATGGCTCAAACTCGTGCTGTGTCAAAAATTCCCCCCCCCCACCCATCATTCTCCCCATCAGTTAATGAGAAAACATATTGCATTTGATAATTTTCAAAGAGTGAGAAAAATCCCTCTAAAGAGCGAGGTTCAGTGCCCTTGCTGTGCTTCCCTTGCTTTTGAGGTGGCCATGGAGCATTCATTCCATTCTACAAATCCAATATAGCTCAGTGGTAGAGCATCCGTTTTGGATACAAAACGTCCCATGTTCAATCCCCAGCATCTCCAGGTAAAACTGGAATAAAATCCTGGTGTAAAATCCTGGAAAATTGCTGCCAATTAATATTGAGAATATTGGGCTATATGAACCCATGGTCTGGTTCAATGGAAAGGAGCTTCTAATATTCCTATCTCATCAGCAGTGTTCAGCATGCAGGCTTCCCAGCTTCCCACCCTTCTGTTAAAACCAGTGCTTTCCCCCCCTAGAAAAATAGGTGCCAGTAGTCCGCATGAAGTTGTTAGAGTAAGTGTCACACTAAAGGCAAGGCTGGGGGATACCACTGAGTTGGATGTTCTGTTGAGCATGTGCCGAAACGATATCCATGTCTTTATAAAATCTCCCTTGTCTTTCTTTCCAACTAAATCTTAACTTCCTTGGTCCATTTCCCCCCTGAAAATTTCATAGATGCAACCTTTTTGTTTTCATTGCCACATTTGCAAATGTTCTAAAAATTGGAGCTGCGAAGACATGAAAAGCAAGCAATTCTTTGCATCTCAAATTAACATTTCCATTTTTAAAGATTGTTAACAATGCCGAAGTGGGGGTACAAATAATGTTTTGCTTTGTGATCAAAGCAAACATTCATCAATGACACTCATCCAAAACAGTTCCAGCTTAGAACATCTCCACCACATACAGTATGTATGGTGGTTACACATCCCCCATCTTCGACCACTTTGCAACCGTAAAGTAAGCTACAAATCTCACGTCCACCAAAATTCTAAAGCAATTTTAAAGTATCCTAAGAATGAGGGAGGAAAAAATGAAGCTTCTTTCTCAGAGGAAGGAAACTTGAGAAATATGGAAGTCGTTAGCACAGCAAGAGATCAAACCACAGAATCAAATTAGCGATGGGGGTGAAATTAATAATTACCTCAATTGGGATATAAATTTTCTCAGTTCCTAATGCTTGGCTGCATTACAATTTGAGGACCATTTCCCTCTGAAGCTTTCTTCTCCTTGTCTGGTTCAGAATGGTAAGCAAACAAATAAATCATTGCATGAATTGCCAACTAAAGTGCTGAAAGACAGCTCCTTCATAGGTCTACACATATAAGTTATTTCACACAAACTCCTTACCCTCAATGAAAATGTCATTCATTACTGTGAAACTACATGGCCCCTGAATTAAGATGCATTGCAGCTGTGTATGGAGTGATGGTTATAATGTTGGCAAAGATTAGGAAACCCATGTCCAAGCCCCCGCTTACCCATTAAACTTGCCATATTGTCTTGAATTAGTGACCATCTCTTGAACTCCTTTGAGGAAAGACAGGATACAAACATAATAAATAATGTAATGTACAACGGTTATTTAATGTTCACTTCTTACACTTGAGAGCCAGTGTGGTGTAGTGGTTAATAGCGGTAGATTCGTAATCTGGTGAATCGGGTTCGCTTCCCCGCTCCTCCACATGCAGCTGCTGGGTGACCTTGGGCTAGTCACACTTCTCTGAAGTCTCTCAGCCCCACTCACCTCACAGAGCGTTTGTTGTGAGGGAGGAGGGGAAAGGAGATTGTTAGCCGCTTTAAGACTCCTAAGCGTAGTGATAAAGTGGGATATCAAATCAAACTCTTCTTCTTCTACTACTTGACGAAACTCCCACTGATTGTGATAGACAAGGGGGCAGGGAACATCAGACCCTGGAGGTGAATATGACCTTCCAGGACACTCCCCAGCCAACACCCCTCACCAGTCCTGCTTTGTACCTTGCTTGCATGCTTTTGCCTGGCTGGAACTTGCCCTCATACTCTGATAAGGTTTCTTGCATATCTGGCTGGAAGTCCGAAGAAACTAGCCTACTATAAAACAATAACATTCATGGTTGTTGTTCTTTCTACTTCTGTCTCTGCCTTTACCCTCAACTGGAATTTGGCCTCTGGAAAATTTCCCAGAAGTGAATAGAGTCCTCGGGGTAGACAAGGTTCTGCAGCCCTGCAGTAGACTATTAGACCTGACTGCTTGACAAACAGACCCTTACTCAGTTAGCATCTTCCTTAATTGGATCCACATTTCTTTACAAGTATTTCATCCGGTTGTTGACTCTCATAAAGAACTTTTTAAACCGTTGTATTTCTGAGTGTGTTTGGGAAGATTACTGAGGTAAGTGCAGGGCAGACAAAAAAAAAAATATGTCAAAGGGACCCCTGACCATTAGGTCCAGTCGTGACCGATTCTGGGGTTGCAGCGCTCATCTCGCTTTATTGGCCGAGAGAGCCGGCGTACAGCTTCCGGGTCATGTGGCCATCATGACTAAGCTGCTTCTGGTGAACCAGAGCAGTGCACGGAAACGCCATTTACCTTCCCACTGGAGCGGTACCTATTTATCTACTTGCACTTTGACGTGCTTTTGAACTGCTAGGTTGGCAGGAGCAGGGACTGAGCAACAGGAGCTCACCCCGCCGTGGGGATTCGAACCGCCGACCTTCTGATTGGCAAGTCCTAGGCTCTGTGGTTTAACCCACAGCGCCACCCGAGTCCATTATTAGGCAGAAATACAACAACACACACTCTTCTCTTAAATAGTTTGCCTCCATTCCACCTTTCAAAGGGAGAGCCAACAGTAAATCACACCATTCAAAGTGGGACTTAGCTCTTTATTAGCCAAACCATGATCTTCACAGACTTGGCTGAGAGTTTGTCTGAGGTCTGGGACAGGAGTCTTGTCAGAATAAATTTATAAGCTCAAACAAAAGAGAAGCCAGTCCCTGGAGGGGGGCCCTGGTCAGCTTAGCCCAAGGCCTCAGGCAATTGTTCCCTGCTGCCCCCCATGCCTCTGAATGGGCCTGCCAGGACCTCCATAAACATTGCCCAGGATTGTGCCCCGGAGAGGTCACTTCAGTGCTGCTAAAGCAGCAAGACCAATGCAGGAAGAAGCAGCTACAAGTTATCAGTCTCTGCAGCAACAGCAGGTGCTGTGATTCTCCAGCGGTTTGGCTCCCCCACCCCTCCACCCCCCGAGGCACACCCCATTTTCCGTGAGACAAACAGATGCCAATAAAATAAACAGAAAAAAAGAAAATATACATAAATTACAGAATCCATCAAATCCAATAAATAGCAAACAAATAAACTACACAAAAGTAAAAAGAATTACCGTAAACAGCAGCATGAACAACAATTGAAATGCCCATCTTGTATTGTTCAAAATCTGCAAATAATCTCCTTTCATTGCCCCTTGAACGGATTTACCAGTTACTAGTACTGTACAGGAATCCCTAATTGCTAATGGTTGGTTTCTAAACTTGAAAAGTGACTAATGGATGCTATTCCACAGAATCTAAGAAAATAGCTATTGCTTTTTGTAAAACAAAACAAAACAAAAAAAGCAGACTTGAAATAAATTTAATATCATTTTTCCAACTGCATTTGTCTCCGTGCGGCCATTACAGCTTTATTCAGTTATTTCTAGTGTCACGATGGGCTGCTCCTCCTTGAGAGCCATAAACAAAGCAAGACAGATGTCATGGTAGCACATGTGCCTACGAGGAAGGCAGTCTCCATAGCAACAATAACCATGCCAAAGCTCACTCGGAAGAGAACATCTTTGCCGACTGACATGCATGTCTGCTTAGCAATTCAGATCATACTCATCTCCAAAGCTGGGCTGGAGGACTTGATTGGGATTTATTGCAATGGGCAGAAGCAGAGCAGATGTTGGGGCTTCTGCATTATGCAGGAAGCATCTCCTTTTGTCCATCTTGACAACCGCTTCAGTAGCGTTCACAGAGCTAGAATCATCTCTGGGTAAGGGCTCCACAGATGAAGGTAGTTCATATTTCAAATGCTGCTTGAGATGTGCCGTGCTATTGAATATCCAAAGACCTAACTTTAGAGTGTGTGTGTGTGTGTGTGTGTGTGTGTGTGTGTAGGAAGCAAAGGATGCCCGCTTGGTTTCTAACTGAAATGTTTTCAAACCTGCAAACAGACTGGATATTTTAAAAAATAGCAGTCTAAAAGTGCAACCCTACAGTCCCTGGGTGGGTATTTCAGGGGCTATGGGATTCTTCCATCAGAAACCCCCCTCCACTCACCTTGCAAAACACAGTTGCCATTGTCCCTCCAACACTGATGTCATTATGGTAAGGTAAAGGTAAAGGGACCCCTGACTATTAGGTCTAGTCGTGGACAACTCTGGGGTTGCAGCGCTCATCTCGCTTTATTGGCAGAGGGAGCTGGTGTACAGCTTCCGGGTCATGTGGCCAGCATGACTAAGCCACTTCTGGGGAACCAGAGCAGTGCACAGAAACTCCGTTTACCTTCCTGCCGGAGCGGTACCTATTTATCTACTTGCACTTGATGTGCTTTTGAACTGCTA